AAACACTGGCAACGGCAAGTGTTAGTGAGGATGCAGATAAAGGGAACTCTCTGCACTGCTGGTCATAATGCCAAATGGTAGAAACACTTTGGAAATAGTTCGGCAGCTTCTTACAAAGTTACAGATACACTACTGTATGATGTCACCTTCCCATCCCCAGGTATTTACACAAGAGACATGAAAACACATCTCCAGAGAAGGACTTGTGCACAAACGTTCATGCGAGCTTTGTTTGTAAGATCCCCAGAGTGGAGCTAGTCCACTCTCCCCAACAGAGGCACACACAAAGAAATTGTGTTGCCGCCATACAATGTAACGCTTCTGTCATTAAGAAGGACTGAGCTACTAATACACGCTGAAATACACATGAATCCCAAAATAATTATGTTGAGTGAAACAGTCGGACCAAAAAAGAGTATATGCTGTATGATTCCGTTTTTATAAAATTATAGGAAAGCAAACTAACCTGCAGTGATAGAAAGCAGCCCAGTGGCTGCCTGGAGGGGAGGGGTGTTCGGTGGTGGGGGATAGAAGGCAGAGCCACAGAGAGCATGAGGAAACTTTGGGGTGACGGAGATGTTCACTGTGTGGGCTACGGTTTCATGCAGAAATATTTATGTCAAAGCTTATCAAATTTGACACCTTGAATATGCACAATTTATTTGATGTGAATTATGCCTCAATATGCTGTTTCAAAAAGAGATCTTGGACCTTAAACAAGGACTAAAATTCTAAATTTATAAAACTTCTGGAAGTAAAGTTAGGAGAAAATCTTCACAACCTTGAGTATGCATAGATTTGTTAAGGCACAAAAAGCACTAATTAAAAAGGAAAAAAGACAAAACATAAATTAGACTTCATCAAATACAAAAATGTCTGCTCTTCAAAAGAAGCTTTTAAGAAATGAAAAGGCAAGGCATAGATTTGGAGAAGCAAGTTGTGTATCCATAAGTGTATCGCACGTTCTTGCGATCCATAGTTTAGAGAGGACTTCCTTCCTGAATCCATAAAGGCCTTCTACATCTTGATAATATGGCAAATGGCCCTCATGGGAAAACATTATTTGAACAGACACTTCATAGAAAAAAATATATACTTAAAAGTGCAAAGAAAGTGCTCATCATTCATCAGAGAAAGGCAAAGGATGCTAGAAGGGGACCATAAGTTTGGAAAAAGGTCTCACAGCTCACTACCTTATGACCCAGCCGTTCCATATTCATCAAAGCGAAATAAAAACATATATCAACACCAGTAAAAAGACTGTCTAAAAACATTCATAGCAACTTTATTCGTGCAAGGTTTAAAACTGGAAGCAGGCCAAATGTCTGCCAACAGGTAAAAGGATTTTTTGAAAATCATGGTGTGTCTATACAATGAAATGCTACTTTCAAGAAAAATGAGCACATTGCTAATACTTACAGAAACATGGATAAATCTCACAGATGTTTTATTTTTTAAAAACTGGACATAAAAGAGTGTACACTTCATGATTCCATTTATATGAAATCCCAGAAGAGGCAAAACTGCTAGAAGAATTTAGGGACAAATGCAGTGGCGCTGGGGCAGGAACAGGGGCCTGGGGTCAGACCGAGTGCCAGGGAGGCAAGCAAACCCTGGAATGATGGAGCTCCTCTCTCGAGATCGAGCTGCTGGTTCCAAGTGCATAGAATCATCACAATTATAACCTGTGAACTTTGGTGTTAATTATACCTCAATAAAGGGATTTTAAAATCCTCACTAAACAGAAGAGAACACTGAATAATATGCAAATTTGGTCAAAACACATGTATATTGAAATCAACTAGGGAATTTGGGGTAAAATCCAGCAAGGACAAACTCTGCAAATTTTGTCTATGGAGTGTGAAACTAGAAGATAAAGTGGAAGTGCTAAAGGAGCATTTCACAGGAAATCTAAACGGTTTATTGAATTGCTTAAATGTAGGAAAATAATAAGACACAGAAAAGGGTACAAAAATTCTCCAGGGAGATATGCATATTACCGCGTGTGAGTTTAACGTGATGGATTGTTGGTATGCAAAATGAAGACCGAAGAGCCTCAGTAGAACTGGTTTGAACGTAGGAAACCTTCCACACAGGGACAGTGAAGTTGTAATGGCAACGCAGCGGGCGAGCGAGGGGAGGAGGTGACAGTGAGAGGCCTCCAGAGAAAGGCTGGGGTTGCCCCAGCCAGGGAGGCTCGACTTGCCCAACTCTCTCCTCAACGCCTAATTGGCAGGAAACTTTGGTCGCAACCCCTCGAGCCACACTTAATTGTCCCTCAGAAGGTTCTCTTCCAGTTTGCCTCCCCAGAGTCCCCGGGACAAACATCTGCCCCTGGCCCTGGAAACGCAGAGGTTGACTTGAAGGCCAGTTGCACCTCAGCCCAGAGATCTGGTCAGGAGGACATCGGAGACTGGCTTCATGCAGGACGCAGAGCCTCAGTGGTCACCGCAGTGCCTACTTCGGCTGGAGCTGCCTTCCAGAACATGCCCTGAGGCGGCTGTGGGCAGACAGAGGTGAGTGAAGAATGGCTGTTCTGCCCGCTGAGCCGCTAGGAGAACAAGAGTTTCCGGTCTTGGAATTCCATGTGGAGTTAAGGGACCATATTCTAAGTAAACGAACACTTCTTCAAGTTTTCTTGGAAGTGATTGATCAAAGATAAGGATATGGTAGAAAAGTTTTGGTTTTATGTTCTATTATATAAAAAGTATATATACTTTTTTTCACGACCAGTTAGTTTTTCATATCTGTTATTTTTACTCTTTATTGAAAACCTGGTTTTCTCACTCACTTACCTTGCCAATAATACTACTTTTGAAATAAACAAACTTTGAAGAATCTAAGATCCAAATCCATGACTAGACAAGACTTGAGGGTCCTCTCCTTCAGCCACAGCCTCCAGAGAGAATCCTGAGAACCCGTCACAGACCGCAGCCCGTAACTCTGCCTCAACAGGCCAGCATTCGGGAGAAGAAAGGGACCGACAGCTCCCAGTTAAGGGAAAATATTGACAGTCGTATCCATGCTGGCCAGGCCCCGTCTCAGCAGCGTCAGCACTTGGATGATTGGAAATCACCTAAATAAAGTGTCATTGCCATTTGACCTTAAAGCCAGTTGGACCAGAAGTCAAGAGAGCAAGTACAGAGGGGCAAGGACACGTGATAAGAGGCTGTGGCTGTAGGTGGCGCCTCCAAGAATACGCTCAGCGTGCACTGAGCTTCCATGTTGGGGCCCAGGGCTGCTGCAGCGTCTCAGTCTGTGGCGCCATGTGGCAGCCACGTTCTGGCTGGGTCTCGGCTCTCACGGCTGTGGGAGTCAGCCCCGCCGAGACCACTTTCCCACTCGTGCCTGTGGGGCTGCTGTGTTTATTATTAGCGTTTTGTGTTTGATGAAGTCCAATTTATCAATGAATTGTTTATTATTAGTGTTTTTTGTGTTTGTGTTTATTATTAGTGTTTTGTGTTGCCTAGTCCCAGGGGGCAAAATATTATCTTAGATTTACTTATAGAAATTTTATAATGTTATCTTTTTCTTTTAGGTCTATGATTAATTTTCAATTAGTTCGTACGTGTAGTGTAAGAGAGGGGTGAGGTTTTTTTTTTCATTTGCAATTCCAATTGTTCCAACGTAATATTTTGAAAAGACTTTTGCCATTGCTTCTTTAGCACCCTCATGAAAAACATCACTTGACTATATACGTATGGGTCTATTTTGGGATATATATTCCAGATTTAGTTTATTGATTTGTCTATTCTTCTGTAAAAATGAAACCATTTTGTTAGAACAGGTTGTTAAGTCCCGAGGTTAGAATGCGTAAGTCTCCTCCAAATTTGTTCTTTGCAAGATGATTTTGGTTATTCCAGGCCCTTTGCAATTCCACATAAATTTTAGAATCAGCTTGTCAATTCCTGTTCAAAAAGAAAGTCTGCCAAGATTATGATTGAGATTGTGTTAAACCTATGGATCACTTGGAAGAAAATTGGCATCTTAGTTAACCTATCTGTTTACTCATCATAGGTAGATTTTTGTTTAGTCGTTGTACATATTTATAAAAACTATTTTAAAGTTCTTGTCAGATAATTCCAAAATCATGAAGTCAGTTTACACTGATTGCTTTTCACTTGTGTATGGGCCACATTTTCTTTGAGTATGTAGTAGTTTTTCAAAGTAGTCTAGATGCTGTGGGTGATAAATTGTAGAGATTATGGGTTCTGATATCTGCCTCTGAGGAATGTTGATTTTTATCCTACCAGATACCTAACTCGGCTGCAGTGAAACCCACACTCATTCTTCCCTACGGTGAGCTACAGCTGAAGTCTCTGCTTGCTTCTCTCTGTTTCTCCGCTGTTGCTTTCCGTTGGTTCCCCTGGAGTCTGACACACGCGTGCGCGCACATATGCACACTCATACACACAACCAACCACAGGAGTATTGACACAGTGCAGCGAGCACAGGGCCGGAAAGGATGCCTAAAGACCGGCCATGAGGAATCACACACACTGAAGGGGAGAGGGAGAGCCCCCCAGATCACTGAAAAGGAGTCCAGTGACTGAGGAGCTGAGAGGCCATCTCAAAGTGTGTCCACCAGAGAGATGGAGCCTGAGGAGGGGGCACGTGGGTGGAGGAGCAGCGCAGTCGTGTCGCCATGGTGACTGGAGCAGAGCTCAGCCATTGGTGGTGAGGAGAGAGAACGAGCAGCTCCCTGGCAAGGGACGCTGCACTTGACTCGCCTGTGGGAAAGATTAGGATGAGGCCCGTGTTCCAAGGAACAAGATCTAAAGGACAAAGTTTTTCAAGGTAGAAAATAAAAGGAAAGGTAAATAAAGGCTGTGTGGCTTTCAGAAGAGCGTTGGGTGGAGGTTCAGGAATAAACGGGCTCCTGTGAAGAAGTCAAGGTCACTCCTCCCCTTCCGAGAGCAGGCTGGGTTCCAGGATGGTCACCTGTGGGAAGGAGTCTGATGTGAGTGTCCTGTGATCTCTTGTCAGAGAACTGCACTCACATGGAGCGGGGCGTAGGGACCCCTTCCGGCCAGGGGACAAGGTCCAACCACACGCTGGTGGCAGAGTTCAAGCTGCAGGGCTTCTCCGAGCACCCCAGGCTGCGGCTGCCCCTTTTCAGCTGCTTCCTCTCCCTCTACGCCGTGGCACTCGGGGGCAACGCTGTGATCATTGCTGTGGTCAGCTGCAGCGTTAACCTCCGCAGCCCCATGTACTTTTTCCTGTGCAACCTGGCCACCATGGACATTGTCTGCACCTCGTCTGTGCTGCCCAAGGTGCTGGTGGGCCTGGTCTTTGAGGAAAACACCATCTCCTTCCCAGGATGCATGGCTCAGCTCTTCTTCCTTCTCTGGTCCGTGTCTTCTGAGCTGCTGCTGCTCACGGTCATGGCCTATGACCGCTACGTGGCCATCTGTCACCCACTGCACTACAGCTCCAGGATGAGCCCACTTCTGTGCAGGGCACTGGTCACAGGAGTGTGGGCTGTCTGTGCCCTCAATGCTTCAGTGCACACCGGTCTGATGGTGCAGCTGTCCTTCTGCGGCCCCAACATCATCACACACTTCTTCTGCGAGATCCCCCCACTCCTGCTGCTCTCCTGCAGCTCCACACTCATGAACAGCGTCATGACTGTCCTGGCTGATGCCTTCTTTGGCGTGGTCAACTTCCTGCTCACCCTGGCGTCCTACGGCTGCATCATCGCCAGCATCCTGCGCATCCGCTCGGCTGCGGGCAGGCGGCGGGCCTTCTCCACCTGCTCCTCGCACCTCCTGGTGGTCTCCGTGTACTACTCGGCCGTCTTCTGTGCCTACATCAGCCCGGCCTCCAGCTACGGCCCCGAGAGAAGCAAAGTGTCTGGAGTGCTGTACACGACGCTGAGCCCCTCTCTGAACCCCATCATCTACTCTCTGAGGAACAGGGAGGTCAAGCACGCCCTGAGGAGACTTGTGCCCCTTTCCCGACATTAATGGTGACGTGCAAGCCCTCTTCCAGCCTGGGCTCCCTGCCCCTGCATCCTGAGACCGGGCTTGGAGCAAGACCTGGCTCTCACACTTTTTCTGCAACTACCCTGGGGTGTGGATGCGGCCTCAGCTGCAGAGCCACACCCCGGGTCCCAGCAGGTGCTCTTCCTGCATCCCAGTAAAGAAGTCATCACGTGCGGTGATCCTTGTGAATCTGACCTGAAAACTGCCCCAAGGCCTTTCTCAGAGCAGCTCTTCCTCAGTTATCATGACCTTCCATGCCCACCTTGCTCCCGCTGAATCAGCCACCAGCTGTATCTGCCTCTCCCTGTCCCCCAGCCACACTCACCCACTATGGTCTGTGCCCACAGCCTCCTCATTCAGTACACGGTCGACCCTATTCTTCACATGCCACCTCCCACAAAGCCTTCCTTCATCTTCTAGCCAAAAATAGCCCCTCACTCTGCCTCCTGCAGGTGGTCACCTCCACCTCAGACAGCCTGTCCCTCATTCTATCTAGACCTCACAATACAGGTCCCCTGTGCCACCTGGACCTCACATGGCCTGTCCCTGTTCTATCTTGATCTCACGTGGCTGTCCACATCCCTCCTGGACTTCACCCAGCTGTCCCCTGTGCTACCTGGAAATCACATGGGCTGTCCCTGTTTTTCATGGACCTCACATGGCCTGTCTTTGTGCTACTGAGACCTCACATGGCCAGTCCCCATTCTTCCTGGTCCTCACAAAGCCTGTCCCCATTCTACCCGGACCTCACACAGCCTGTTCCCTGTTCTTCCTGGTCCTCACAAAGCCTATCCCCGTTCTACCTGGACCTCACACGGCCTGTCCCTGTTCTACTGGGACCTCACACCACCTGTCCCTGTGCTACTTTGAACAGCAAATCCACGTAACGACTTGTCTCTTTATCCACTCTTTGACTCCCTGTCATGTTCTTGCTGTCCCTGTCTCACGCTGGGCTCACAATGAATAATGCATCCCCGTTACTGCCCCTTGCCTCTCACAAGCATACTGGGGAGCATGTGGGGCATTATCGCTGTGTCAAGGGTCATACCCCATGAGTGGCGAGTGTCTCACAGGCCTCATCTGCTGTGTCCTCAATGCCTCTGGTCCCCGGGGTGGAGGCGGTGTCTTGGGGTCTCACTTCTAAGTGCCTGCGTGAGACCAGAGTGAGGACTGGTTCAGGTCCCACGGTCATAGAGCTGCCTGTGCTTTCATGCCCAGTGTGGCTTTTCCCCTTCATGCATCCCCGTCCCTAGGTTCACACGCCAGGGGTGACTCACTGTCCAGTCTCACCGTCAGCACGAAACTCCGTGTCTTGGGACCCTCACCCAACGTGAGCTGGGAGACCCCTCATGTGGGACATACCTGCCCTGTTCCACCCATGGTTCCTTGTCCTAAAATGGCCGTCCGCCTTCTTACTTGTCTGGGAACATGCCCGCTGTCCCCTCATGGTCCAAGCGCTCAGCTCTCCTCCAGGCCCCATAAATGCCCCCAAGCCCATGTTTGAATTTGCCCTCCATTACTCACAAACACAGTCCTTGGTTTCAGGTGTGCCTCTTTCTTCATGAACCATTTAAAATGCTCTTTACCCACAGTTGTGGGTTGAATTGTGTCCACAAAAAGATATGTCAAAGTCTTACCCCAGGAGCTTTGGGATGTGGCCTTCTTTGGAGATAGTGTCACTGCAGATGTGGTCAGCTATGGCGAGGTCTTGCTGGAGTAGGGTGAGCCCTAATCTGTGTGCCTGGGATCCAGACAGAAGGAAGGAGCGCAGGGTAGGGGCCTGTTCTGGGTCCTTCCGAGCTCTCTTGGAACCCCCCTAATGGTTCCCACTGGCAGCTGCCTCTCAGATGGAGCTCACTGCAGCCTCTGTGGGAGGAAGGGCATCTGGGTAGGCCTGAGGGGAGGCAGACGGCCCATGGACATTGCTACAACAGCCTGTTGGCAGCCCCTCACACTTGTGAGCCGTGGGAGTTGTTTCAGCCCATTAATCATGCTTTGCTCTGTCTCTCATGCCAGCATCACACGCAACCTGGAGCTGAGCAAGCAAAGTAGTTCCCGCCTCCTTTGAGGCCTCGTCAGGGTTGGATCTTGGCTGTAGCCCACATTCTGAAATACATGTTCAGCTCAGAATGATCTCAGAGTGTGCCGGCCCCCCTGCAAAGGCAGGAGGACCCCACTTCACACTTGGTTCAGACAGTATCTTGGTCCATATGGGACTGAATACCACAGGCTGGCGGCTGACTCACGACCGGCGTGTTTCTCACAGTTCTCGAGGCTGGAGGGCCAAGATCAAGGTGCCGTGGACTCAGTGCCTGCTGAGGGCTCACTTCTGGCCATCTTCTCACTGTGTCCTCACATGGTGAAAGGGACAAGGGAGCTCTCTGGGGTCTCCTTTATAAGGACACTAATCCCATTCATGAGGGCTCCACCTTCATGACCTGATCCCAAAGGTCCCACCTCCTAACACCATCACTGTGGGGGTTTGGATTTCAGCATAGGAATTGTAGAGGACACACACTTCAGGCCACAGTAGACGTCGAGGCTAACGACACCACACACACTGAGCAGCTGAGACAGCGTTCACCCTTCACACAGTCCCGATCTCTGGGGGGAAGGGCAGTCCCCCAAGCAGGCCTGACGGAGCTGGGGCAGGAGCCTGGCTGGGGTCACTGTGTCAGGACGTGGGCCTGCGAGGGTCCCCGCACACAGGCAGGGGCTTGTGGGCTTGTGGGCTTGTGTCTCCTGCTGGTGCCCAGTAGCAGACCCTGGGTTTCTTCTGGGCTTCCTCAGGTGTGGGGCAGAGGGAAGGGGGAGGGGTGGAGCTTAAAGTCGTCAAATACCAAAACTGGAGTCAGGTCCCATCAGACGGAAGGCAGGAGGAAACCAGCCCTGCTCCCCTCCCAGACCGGACAAGGCTTTAGCCAGGGGGCCACGGGTTCTCAGAGGGTGGGAGATGCCACAGGGCTCTGGGGGCACCAGGGCCCTTCGCGGGACACCAGGCTGTGGGGCAATGGCGGCAGGCAGGTTGACAAGTGGGTGCCCGGTTATGGTCAGAGGCAAGAGTGCTGGACCAGGTTCAATCCCACAACTGAGAGACGTCAGGTGCAGGCTGGTGCCTGCCAGGTGAGGTCAGGAGGTGGAGCCGCATCCTCCTCACCTGAGTCCCCACAGACAGGTGTGACCCCACCTAGCGGCCGGTTTATGTGGCTGCCTGCTGACGGACAGGGGGTTCTCCATTTAATTGTTCGCTCAACAATTTTAGAATGTTCAGACCCGGGATGAGACAGGTGCCATTGAGGGCTCCGGGAGCACAGAGAGGAGGACGACCACGATCCCGCCTTCACAGAGCTCTGGATCCAATGGTGACCCACCCAGCGAGGAGATGGGAACTTCCCTGAGGAGCTGGGGGCGCCAGCCACACAGACATGTCATTGTATCTGTAGCCACAGCCCGGAGAGCAGAGGGCTCTCCCAGCGTCCTGCAGGTGCTCCGTAACTTTGCTCTTGCGAAATGCAGCTGTCTGTTTGATCTCTCCCTCGTCCAAGGGCAGGAAGGCAGTCAGCACATTATTCAGGAAAAGTCTCACTCAGACACAGGTGGATGCAAAATCAGGGGATGGCAGCTTGGTTCCCAGTACACACGTCCCCCATGCCTGGGTCTCCAGCCCCATCCCCATCCCCATTCTGGGTTTGATGTCTCAATCAACAGGCTTTATGTGCTGTTCCCCCGTGGTGGGGACAGAAAAGAGCTTCGGGTCCTTCGCCTTTAGATAAACATGTTCAAGCAAGTGAAACTTCCTTCTAAGAGCCTGGCAAGACTAACCTTTCATTCCCAGTTACTGTCATTCTGACCCTAATCCCATTTGGATAACAGTAAGGAAGTCCTACAGTGGTCAGTTATCACAAAAGAAGCAAACAAACAAAATATGAAAGATTTGGTATGCAGCTTTGAGTTTAAAATAAAGTTCTGATACTAAATCAGCAAAAAGCCTCAAGGTTTGTGAGGCCAAAGGCAAGTGCCCAAGGGAACCAGAGGTGAGGCTGGGCCCAGACAGGAGGACTCGGCCCCAGGGAAGAGGGAATCCTTGGCCCTGGAGAAGGGGGTACAGAGCCAACGGGGAGGTGGGGGACCCTTAGCAGCGCCTCTGCCCCACTTGCTGCATGTCATCTGGGGACCCGAGGTTGGGGAGGTCCATGGTTTACCCCAGAGAGGGCAGCCCACGCAGTCAGCCCACCTGGAACCCACTCTGCCCGACAGTACGGGCGACTGTGGCATGGCTTTCCACGGGTTTAGAACGAGCAGCAGAAAAACTTGGCATTTTCTAAGAAGGGGGTGAAAAGTAACCGAAGATTGCAGGGCCTGAGAGGCCTCGTGGCCACGTTGAGGGGATTCCCCTGTAAGCATCAGCTGAACCAGACTTGCAAAGGCCAACAGGGAAATGATGCTCACACCTGGGACCCACACATGATGCTGCAGAAACCCCCAGGGAGGGAGGAAAGCAGACGTGACCAAGATGAAACTAAGGCAGGTGAGACGGGTCCAATACAGAAACAAGGTGCAATGGTGGGGGAGACGATTGCCTGGATTCAGAACAAGGTACTGGAGCTGCTGCACTGGTATTGACCGTTATGCTCACCAATCACTGCCTCTTTCCCCTATTTTCCCAAAGACTCCCCTCCCAGGCGGAGGATGAAGGTGGAGGGATCTCGTCCCCCACACAGAGCTCAGTGGGCCTAGGCACACCCCCTGTAGGCCAGACCCTGCCACATCCCTCTCTCTCGTCTTCACATGGTCCCTTCTGTCACCACAAACTGGAAGGTCCCCTGGGAACCCTTCCTCTTTGCAGCTCTGGACAGACAGCAGAGCTAGTAGCTCTTGGTTTTATTGCTCACCTTGCAGCCAATCAAAACCTCCCAGAGAAACTGCTGAAGGCTCCCTGAGCCTGGGGACACATGTGGGCAAGGGGGCACAATGTTCTCTCT